GCGGGCGCTGTTCCTCTTCGTCTAGACCTTCCGGTCGGTGACTGGACCGCCCTTCCGGCCCGTTGTTTTTAGACTCTCGGACCGGCCCAAGAGTTGTGTGCTGCCTGTTTGGGCCGAGCACCGGCGTGGAAGCCTGTCCCTAGGGGACCCTGGGTTTATGAACCCGACACATATATCATTATCACATTGCATACTTAATAATTAAATACGCGGTAAAGCAAGTTCTAAGCTCTAGTAGACGTGGACGTGCGACATGCATGTGTCTTTCAAAATTAATTTCTTGGAAGAAAACAATGAACATTTTTAGGAGTCCCCCACATCGTATCGTTTCTAATATAATTTATATGGGGTTACAAATTCAAAACATAAGACTATAGTAAATTTTTTACAAAAAAAAATCTATCTCTTGGATGTGTTCTGAATTTTTCTGTTGAGGATGAACCTCGACCTGCACCTAACCTTTTGCGTCTTGTCTATTAGCAACATAACCAAATCTTCAATTTAAGGTGGAACTTTAGCACCCTTGGATGATCTTGACTCTGGCATGGTCATTGATAGGTCCGAGGGAGGTTTCCAATCTTCATGCAGAGTTGCATTTTCATCTAGAGTTCTTTGACTTAGAACCAAACAAGAAAAATAGTGACTCCTGGTGCTACGGCAGTACCTTGGACTGCTCCTTATATAATGCCCTGCTTATTTCTGTGGCTATTGGTTAGCACCCTTTCACTATTTACTACCAAAACAAAATCATAAGACCTTGTATAATAACTAAAATGGCTTCTGAGAACTTAAATCTAAGTTACATAAAAGAGAATTTGGTCAAAACATGAGAAAAGTGACATAGAACAGTACTCCAGAATTAAAAAAAGGGCATACCCAGTGTAGAGAGCTCTCGCTCTGTGCGAGGGTCTGGGAAGGGTGTTAGTGGCAAGCCTTACCCTCGCCTGTGCAATGCAAGGAGACCACGACTCGAACCCAGAACTTTCCGGTCACAGGAGACGAAACATAATATGCTAATTAATATTTCTAACAATGCAAATTGGTTCAGAGCACGAGAAAAATACTAAATGGAAATTACATATATCTCAGACTCATTTGATCCTAAAAAGAGTTATGCATGAGACGAAACAGACCAATCCAAAGGAGTGTTATGGCTATTGCAATAATAAACATGCAGAAGTTTTACTACCTTATCAAAAATAACTTTGAAGAGCAGTCAGTGGAAAAAAACACAAATGACTCTTTATTTTGAAGTAGTAGTTGTTTTTCTCCAGCACATATGAATAGGTTTAGAAAGAATCGAGTGGCCACTCATTCCACAGTATATAACCATTATACTATTTACATAATCCCTGGCCTTGAAATTGTCATAAATAATCAGTTGTCTTCTTAAACTAAATATCAAGATCACCTTGACAAAGTTGAAGCAAAAAAATTAAAAAAAACAGAGCTTACCAGGGTTAGAGCATGTTGCACCAGATAATTGTTATTTGCAGCTCATTATGGTTGAATATATAAAAAAGGAAAAGTAGAGCCATGTTGGATTATTAATTAAAATAGTAAAATGCAAACAAAAAATATTTTTTATAAAATCGATTTTTCAATGATCTAAGGCATAAAAGCGAATCACTTGACAGCCAATAAGTCTGATATAATAATTGCTACAACTCTGGTCATTAACCTTGCTTTGATAAGCTCTCAGCTTCCATGTTTCAAGACCCAGAAGCATCGAGTTCCTCCTCCAAAATAAACCGTATGTGTGAACCCATGAAGAACAGTCACAACCTTAGTATAATTCTGAAATACAAAGTCCAGAAATAGAATAAGGGAGTATGGAAGAATATTGATGAACTGCTTGATTTGTGAACCCATGAAGTATAGCTTATTATGACTACAATTCACAGTGCAATCCGACCTTCAAATGAATATGGTCTCAGTATGATCATTCCCTACATAGAGCGCTAAGGGATGGCCAATTACTCAATTCCCAAATGAACACCCATTTATTTCAGAAATGTTTCCATGGTGCTTAGAAGAAGAAAAAACAGGAATAAGCATCGACCGTTTAAAAACAACAAACTTAGTAACATAGAGTTGAGCTTAACAAAACCTGCTGCTATAATCATAGAAATCCTCGAGGTCTGCATCTTCATCATCTCCACCATCTCCATACCGCAACTTGCAATGCCCCTTTGCATCCATGTGTTTCCTGACAGCCTCTAGACTGAAGAAGCATCTGTCACTGCATGCAACAGAGGAAGATAAAATGATGCTTCACCTGCAGGTAGGATAACCAATTCAACGTGAACATTAAACTGCATGTTTGCACACACACAATATTTGATTTTAATCCGATGAAAATGTATACCCTTCAGTTAGACATAATTAAGAAGACCGCTGGGATCCTTCAAGTATTCACTGTTAGGTACGAAAAAACCCATGCTTCTTGTATGTTTGAAGTAGAATCATCAGCCAACTCCATCTCACTTGGGTCAACTTCAACCCACTCTTCCTCCTCATCGTCATCTTCATCCTCCTCTACTGGAGATGGAGCTCTGCGTGGGAGCCGTTCATCCAACAATAGTAGCTTGAAAACTCATTTGCAATACCAAAAGTTAAACCTTGAAAACTACAGAAAAAGCATAATAGTAGCTTCAACATTGCACCAAAAATTGCCACAGGCGTAGCCTATCAAATTCACATACATTATCATTGGTTTAGACATATCTTTTTTTTTTGTAATTTGTGTTTGCTTTTCACTGGCCAATTCAGAATGCAAGTTCATTAACTAATATGGCTGTTCCTAAGCTGTCAGTGCTAGAAGCTTCACCATGAGTTACCCAGAAAAAGGCCATAAATCTTATCCCAGAAAAATCTAGATCTTTATTTTCTACAGACTGGGCGCAAGCAACATTATTCCTTTGAATCATTACATCTCTTCAATGTTAGTATCATATCATCAGGTAAATGCATAATGTCAAGAAGAAACAAATGTGCCAACTAAATATAATAAACATAAAAAGCACTACAGGTACGCTCACCATCATTTGTAGATTCTTATCTCTACTATAATCTCTGCGATAGCACATTACAATTGAACATCACAAAAAGAAAATTTGCAAAGCATCCATATGCAAGCTAACAGGAATCTGGAACCTATCTACAGAAATGAAAAAGAAACACATTCACCGAAACTATCTTTAAATAAGCAAATTCGGGAGGATCTGATGCGAATATACAACGCCTCCTAGTCCTAGTACCATAACCTAATTAACCTTTAGCATCAATAAGGCGCTAATTAAAAGGTCAATGGACATTTACTCACGACAAACAGCCAGACAAGATCGAAGGGATAGGGAAAAGAAATTTTACATCAGCGAGGAACAAGAGATGGTCCTCATCAGCAAACTCGGGGAGTGGTACGGCCTTGATCTGCTCTGAGACAACTTGGTGGCGACCTCCAGGATGCCGACGAGCTCTGTGTGTACTGGTACGCCAAGAGTTGGAGTGTCCCAGTCTCGCGGTGCTCCGGCCGGGTCTCGCGCCATGGCGCGCCACGAAGAGCAGGCGCGGCAGGCGCCACCGGATAGCAGGTCCGGCGCGCCCACGCGGGTCATGATCGCCACCAGGAGGCGAGGAGGGGTGGCGGGACGGGCCACGACGGCGGCGGCGGCGGCGCGGCCTTGCGGCACGATGGGGGCGGAGTGCGGGGGGCACGGGCCACAGGGTCCGGCAATTTCTTCCTTTACCACGGCAATTCCTTCCTTTCTCATGCCAAATCATTCCTTTATCGCGGCGCGCTGATCGCGTGTGGGTGTGGTCGCGGCGCGGGTGGGCGAGGGAGGTGGGGCGTTGCGTTGAAGCCTAGGGCGATGCGCTGAAGACTATCCATGGCCGCATGATCGTGGTGAAGCCTCCTCAGAACATATCTGATCGTTGGTTTTCATACGAGGGGTTTTCTGGGTGCACAATCTAGTGTGCATGGAGGAAACGTCATCTCTGTGGGGGACAAATTTCTAGGTGGATTGAGCATAATTCTGATTGGTCTCTTATAGTAGAGATATATAGTTTAACAATATGAAAATTGTAATATTGTGAAACTATTTCTCATGGTGTAATGTACTCAGTTATAGTCATCAGAAAGAAAAAGGAGAAAAAAAAACAGGAGAGAAACCGAAAACATTTCACTTGAACTCACTTGGCCCACGGAAAATAGAACACAAGCTCAAATAGTACGACCTGTAGACAAGCAATGCCCGATCCACACTGCAACAGAGACAAAAGGCCCATCAGGTACAGTCACTTCCGTCCATACGGCCTTCGAAACAAACAGGCCCACCATCCCTCGTCGTGGGTTCTCACACCCGCACGCACGCCGCAGACCAGGACGCGCGTGCTCTCTTCTCAATTCTCGCCGTTTCACCCGCAGGCCGCAGCACCTTCTTCGCCGGCCGCCGCACCGTGATCCGGATTCCGGAGCCGCGAGGCGTTGCAGTGGCGAGCCTACCTCTCTGCCTGGTTGAAGCGGAGTTGTCGGCAGCGCCCTTTGCGGGAAATCGCAGCCGACGGGCGAGGTCGGTGTGTGGGGGGTCTCGATCTCACCGGACGCGCCGTTGCGGCCAACCGCCTCAGGAACCCGCTGTGCCCCGCGCCTCGCGAGAAAGCAGGAGCCGTTGCCGCCCCCGGTGCCTCCGCCCTCAACTTCCAAACCCTAGGGGCGGCAAAGGCTCGAACCGTAGGCGCTTTGGCCGTGACCGTGCGAGGTCGGCGGCGTTGCGACCCACGAGTTGCAGGTAACGAGATGTGTGCTTTAACTTAAATCCGTATTCTATTCGTATAGAATACAAATCATAGACAGCAGTTGAAACCTGTCGAAATTTCATGTTTCTCTTGGAAATATGACCTAACATTTGGCCGCTTCGCTTCCTAAATATTGGTTGGGTTAATGTTTGAGGTGTCTGAGCTGATCGTATCTCCCTTTCCTCTGTGCAGTTGACTGAATGGAGCAAGGGGAGAACCAATCAGCTGATAGTTTTGTTGTTTCATCATCGGATAATAATGAGTTGGAAGGTAATTGTACTGGATTGGTTGCTGCACGTTTCTCGAAATCCCACATTATTGTGAACGTGACAGAAAAGAGAGGAAGGAAAAACTCTACAACAAAGAAAAATGCATGGCACTTAATATTTGTTTACACTTTACAGAGATCTTTTTATGGTCCTTAAAACTATGTGGTAAAGCTACAACTTCCTTCTTGACTTGATGTTCAGTAATTAGCAGGTCAAATACCAAATAATGAAATCTCCTGTCCCTGCTGGCTCACTGTTTTAGCTGATGGCCATTTTGTTATGTTTTTTTGGCTGCTAGTTATGCAGTTCTTATGTCTATTCTGTGCATTTCGATCAGATATCAATGTCTTTTCCCTCATATATCTATATGTTACTTGCAGATTTACCTGTGAAGGAAAGATGCTTTGAGCAGAGAGAAGCTCTTCCTGAGGAGCCTCGCTGTGTTGTTTGTGGCAGATATGGTGAATATATATGTGATCAGACTGATGATGACATCTGCAGTATGGAATGCAAGACAATTCTTCTTGCTCGGATCGCTGCTAAAACAAAGCCAGTAGTAAAAGCAGCAAAGCGTGTGAACCTTCCTTTGGGCGATGAGAGCTTCTGTATTAAGGACATTAATTTTCCAAATATACCTACTTTAGCTGACAGCCGGATCAGTTCACTGAGGAGTAAACTTGACATTTGTGTCAAGGGTGATGCTGTTCCTGATCCAATCATGTGTTTCTCTGCCTGTGGTCTTCCTGAGAAGCTTGTGCACAATCTTGAGACTGCGGGATATTGTATGCCTACTCCAGTGCAGATGCAAGTTATCCCTGCATCAATGAGTAATAGAAGCTTACTTGTTTCTGCTGAGACTGGTTCAGGGAAAACTGCATCTTTTCTAATTCCCATAATTGCTCATTGTTCACGAGTAAGATCACAAGAATGCACAAGCAATCAAGGACCATTGGCTATAGTTCTTGCTCCAACTCGAGAGCTATGCCTGCAGGTAGAAGAGCAAGCAAAAGTGCTTGGTAAAGGTTTGCCTTTCAAAACTGCTCTAGTTGTCGGTGGAGATCCATTGCCTCAGCAAATTTACAGAATTGAAAATGGTATTGAGTTAATTGTTGGCACCCCTGGGAGGCTAATTGATCTTCTCATGAAACACAATGTTGACCTTACCTATGTTTCTGTATTCGTTTTGGATGAGGTGGACTGCTTGCTGGAGAGGGGATTCAGGGATCAGGCCATGCAGATTTTTCAGTCACTTTCACACCCACAGGTTATGATGTTTTCAGCAACATTACATTTGGAAGTTGAGAAGATGTCTTACTCACTGGCTAAGAATGTGATAAGTATCTCTTGTGGGAACCCAAACAGACCAACCAAATCAGTTAAACAAGTGGTCATTTGGGTGGAGTCTAAGAAGAAGAAGCAGAAGATTTTTGAGATAATGAAAAGCAAGCAACATTTTAAACCTCCTGCTGTTGTGTTTGTGAGTTCCAGAGTCGGAGCTGATCTGTTGTCTGAAGCAATTACTGTTGCTACTGGATTAGAGGTTGTTTCTATCCATGGCGAGAAGACAATGAAAGAGAGAAGAGAGAATTTGAGAAGGTTTTTGACAGGAGAAGTATCTGTCGTTGTTTCTACTGGTGTCCTGGGGCGTGGAATGGATCTCCTGAAAGTACGTCAAGTGATATTGTTTGACATACCAAATTCCATTGATGAATATATTCACCAAGTTGGAAGGGCATCTCGGATGGGTGAGGAGGGTATGGCTGTTGTGTTTGTGAATGAGGAGGATAGAAGGATTTTCAAAGAGCTTGTTCAGGTTCTGAAGACTGCAGGTGCACCGATACCCCGGGAACTTGCAAATTCAAGATATACAGCTGGTGTTTATGTTGGTAGCGAGAGGAAGAGAAAATTGAGTTCTAGGTCTTGTTCTTGACCAACATGTGTGAAAGAGTTGCTCTCAATCTATCTTGAAACGAAATATGACATTTTTGCATGTTTTTCTGGAATGTCTTTTCAACTCGTTTGAAGATCTGTCTATCTACCTAAAGGATAAGTTGGTTATCTCTAGAGTTCATACTGTTCCTGAATTTGAAGCATGTGCAGACCCAACAGGGGCAAACAGTCCAAGATTATTTCTCAATGCATGATGTCTGAGATCAATTCATTCAAGAAACATAAATAAGATACATTATAAAATTCAATAAAATGTAAGTCAAATGCATATGATACAGTTGACTTTCCCTGTGCTGCATTTTCTACTATGTTTTATGTGTGCCTCTAGTTTTTTTTTATCCTCAAATGGACATGTAGTTGGATTGAAAATCAATTAGTAGCTTTATTATATCTTGTAGGCTACCAGAATATTCTTTCACCTCCTGAGTTATTTCATTCAGTTATATTGGCGAAGGGAGATTCAAATCGGAATAGTGCTGTATTACTGAAAACTGAAAGTATTATTGTGGTTTTGGTTGAATGTTACCATGTACAATTCCATAAGAGTAGTGAGGTGTATGCTGATCTGAATAAACAAAATAACATCAAGAAAGATTAGAAAGTACTTCAGGACCACTATGTTGTGGACCTGCGGTACCTATCCCTACTCAAAGGGGCAGGTTGGATCTTACGCTCTAGTGGTTGTCCTTACCAGATGTCTAGTATATGGGTTGGTAAACTGTCTGTAGCTCATTGGTAGCCAAAGATGCTGTGCTGAATCTGACAATATAACAATTTGATGAGAAGTAACTATGCTGGAAATATAGCTGAACCCACACTCTGTAACATTTTTTTGCATCCAATTTACTCCTTATTGTGAATTTTCAATCGCTACCTTTTGCATTCATTTTCTGTTCACTCCCTGCGTATCTGATGCAAGGTTTAGGAACATTCACGTGCTTTTGGAAAGGTTACTAGCAATAGTTTGAGTGCAAAAAAATAAAAGATTCAGTGGAATAACAAATTAGCAGGTAGAACATATTATTCATTCTAACTATTGCAACATTCAATAATTTTCTGTTCCACAAGCTATAGTTTCTATGTACAAATATCCCTTTACAATTGCAGAAACGTTCTACCATGTTTACCCTTGGTATGCTGTTTAATTAATTGACACGTACTGCATTTGATCTTTATTTAAACCATTCTGGGTAGATCTAGTGTATGACAAAACTACACCATCACAAAGTGAATAAGTTAATGTGACGTGCTTCACAATCTTAATTAAGATGACATCACTGGTCTATTTGAATAGGATAGATGCAAAGGATTGAGTTAATGTTAAGGGACCACTACAGCTATCTTGCTGGACATATTCAATGCATGCTTTTGCATCATAGAAGTTCCTTAACCAGCTAATGTGGTACCAGAAATTATCGAGCACAGAAACAGAATAGCAGAAAAATTGGAGATGTTCATGTCATACCTCTAAATTTTATGGTCAGACCATCAAATTTCACATACTGTCTGTGTTATAGTCTACTATTGGTGCTGGATGCACGGCACGTTTCTACCAAATTCTTAATTATATAATCGTCTATTGATTAGCTTTATACCATGCAGTGCACATACTAATTTCGATCAGTTTGGATTATATAAGTGACCGATGAGCAATTCATAGATACCATCTTCTTAAACTTTGAAAGATGAGTTCACCTAAACCAAGCTAGGATACATGTCTCTGTATGTAATTTCTGTTTCTCGAAGATCATGTTCTTCTGTTTTGTTCTAGCACAATGACAGAATGAGTTATTTGATACTACATGCACATTGTTAAGATATTACCTTAGCGAATGTTGTGGCGAGAAAGATGATTGCAAGGAGATAACAATGGTGGTAATAGGTGACAAGAAATTTTAAGGGAAACCAGCTAGTGCCCAATGAATGGACTGAAGTTATCAAACATAACTTCATACGAAACATGTGATTGAGATAAACATAAGTAGTGGGAACAATTTTCTCTTGCACAGTTAGCAGTGCCTAATCGGCTGAATCCTTCGTGTTCGGAGGTGACGGCGTTTTTGTTTCAGTGTCCAAACTGCTTTGTGTCTCACTAAACTCTTGTAATTTTGTTACTCCCTGGTAATGAAATTCGGTTTGACCGTTGTAGAAAAAAAAGTGGGAACAAAAATGGAGATAGTCCATTACCTTTCAAACCTTCACAGTGTAGACAAGGACTAGATATAAAACAAGCATCTTAACTATCTTGAAATAACTCAGCTCTTTTATGTAGCTATCCAGAAAGTCTCTCAAAATGACAGACCTTCAGGCCTCAAAGTTGCTATTTAGTTATATTATGACACAGAACTCAGTATGGATCAACTATGGCGAGAATCTAGTTTCCTTCTGTTTTATTCTTCTCTAATACAATCGTACATTGCGACTGACCAACTAACTGGCTGGGCCCTTAGCATTGACTGCATGCTTTGCACCAACCTCCAAATCCAACCATGGAGCTGATAATTGCTTTTTTGGCTGTCTGCTCTTTGAGTTCTGGAAAAGAAAACAGTACACTTACTGTGTCTTTCTTTGTTAACTTGTTATCTATTGCACTCATATGTAGGGCTACCTTGATCCTTTTCTTTTGACTTGTCATTGTCATGTTTGCATCCCTGCTAAGATACAAGTTGGTAGGGGTTCCTTTTTTTTGAACGCCACAGACTGTGGGGGAGTTCCCCACAGTGATTTTATAAATATAAACACAAGGTGGTTACATACTTACAGGGAGGGGGGAACAAGAAAAATTAACTAAAAGCATCTAGCCAAACGCAGGAGGACCTAAGGTCCTCCTTAAACACAAATTTGTAGGGGTTCTTAATGTCAAGGATTGCTGATCATGGGTTTACTACCCACTGTGGTGGATGAATCACCACAATGTCAGTTATTTTCACTAATGTATATGTATCTAATTGTATGGCTGCCTTTTAGGTCATAATGACATGTGATGGGACTTTCTTGTGGATATTTCTAGTAATGTTTTGATGCTCGAAAATAATAATCTGAGTCCTTGTACGGGTTGTGAAAATTCCAGTGGATTGACAGATTGGGTTGTTATATTATCTTTGTATCTGTATTTTATCAAGGTTTAAAGACCCCCTCATCTTCTATTATTAATAATTTAAGATCATATGCATTCAAGATGAAACAGCACATGAAGACCTCAATTCTGGCATGGTATTGTAACTCTGATTCCCACCATGGGATACTGGAGCCAGATGCCAAAATTTTGAGACCTGAATATTGATTGTTCCTAGTCTGATGGCAAATGTTATGCTGGTCATTATGACATTTGTCTGTAGTAGCCTATCATGATTATCAATTATCTATATATATTACATTTGCTTATTTAATGAGGAGAAATATGACTTTAAGGCCTTTAAAGTGTTTGTTGCACACCTTGATGGTCCATACGCTGGGTTCATTGCTCTCACCCTTAGTGCATCTCTACGTCCACATTGTAAAGCTTTTGATGGTTACATGATGCTGAACATAGTGCATGACCTATTCATTAATACAAGATTGGCAGAAGAGGGTATCTTTAAATGTTCTATTCTCAATTAGTGTTCAGTGGTGCCTGGTGATGTGGAATTGGACGTCCAAAAACACCACATTCCTTGTGCCTGCGAGATGATGTTAGAAGTGCCAAAATGTGTGTTTTCAGATAACCAATGCCAAACCTTGAGTTTCTAATGGATACCTTTTTTTAATGAAATGATTTGCATCTTGTTCTCCTCACTGAATTCTACTCTTTTCTGCATAACTGCCTTCACTAGAGTGACTGATTTAGTTGATATGATTAAAGAAATGTGTTGTCTACTTGTTGGTTTGTCTTGTATGCCATAGTGATGATATCTCATAGAGCATGGACCTTCAAACCATTCTATCATAAAAGCAAAGGTCTTATTCACAAACATCACCTTCATCCTGTTTTGAGATTTATTTGTTCAGCCTTGGTTCTTCGTTTGAAGAAATAAAGTAAGACTCTACTCTCTATTTTTTTAGAACTGTGTTGAGATTTCTCAACTGAGTTTGACATTAGGATCCAAGCAAAGGATGAACAATAACACAATCATAATCTATTTATTTCCTTTATAAGCAATTATATCACTGACATTGATGTGTAACAAAGTATCTTGACAGGAACATGTGCATGTAGAGCTTTTCACAAGTACATAGAACTGCACACAACTGCAAACTTTATAGTTCTTGTAAGTTGGATTTAGTAATAGACATATATATCTATATTACTGAAGTAACCTGAACTGCTTGTGTACCAACCAGCCTAGTGAAACTCCGATCTGGGATGGTGACTTGTGCTGTTTGATCGATGTTTTTTCAGATGATGAAGCGACCTTGGTCATCTCCATGCGAGGGTGAAGCTGGGCTGCTGCTGCTCAGCAACTCTTCGATCATTTGCAGGGCGATCCTCTCCTCGTCATCCATCGGGGTGGCTGGTGGAGCAGTTGTTGCTGATGTGGACTGTGATGCAGCATCAGTGGATGCACCTTTGTTGAGCTCCACGGTCATGACCCAGTTGGAGTCACCACGGGCTCCTGCGCGCTTCTGCCAAACACCAATGTGGGACTTCTCAGGGTCAAGGCGGAGACAGGTCAGGGATGGCGATGGCGCCTTGCAGCATTTGCGGAGCTTTGCACTGAGAATCTGGGACAGGTTGGCGGTAGAGGAGCCGCTGCCGGCGTTGCTGCGAGCGTCCCTTCCCGCAGCTGGGGTAGGCTCCCCTGTGCTGCTCCTTTGGACTGGGAAGTTGGTCTTGGCGTTGCGGCCGCTCATCAGCACAGCAGCCTCGTCATATGCTCTTGCTGCCTCCTCAGCAGTCTCGAAGGTGCCCAGCCAGACCCTCCTCTTACTGTATGCATCACAAAAATATACGTACATTGCAATTCAGAATTATGGTCGCATCAGTGGTTTATGTTCTTCCCTAAAAATTATAGGGATAGAAGGCCTTACAGGAGGGGATGCCTGATCTCGGAGACCCAGGAACCCCAGTGGCGCTGCCGAACTCCACGAAACTTCTTTGGCTGTACCATTTTCCTGGAGTGGAGATTCTCTGTCATGGAGAAGGACACACAAGTCAGAGATGAGCTCTGCTGGGGCGCCTATGAACTGAAGTGTGGGTGGCCGTGTGGGGAAGGAACGGGCTGGTTTGAGTGAATATAAACTGCCCAGCCTGTACTTGCTTCTGCAGTGCGTGATAAATGTGGTTAGCTGTGTAGGTAGTAAGATACCTGTCAGAGAGGAAGGGAGTGGAGAATATGTCTGACCTAGTTTTCACTCACCAGTCACCACGTCACCATGATAGAAGGCGGCATACACTGACTGGAGAGCAGGGGTGCTGGGGCCAAGAGCAGTATACCAAGCGTGTGTCAATGGATAAACTATATAGGGCAAAAGATGAGAGAAATCAGGGGAGTGGCAACTGAAGGGGGGCCACATGGTGTCTGCAGGTGTGGCTGTCGGTGAACTGTGTGTATGCATAGCATAACCACCTTCCCTGCTAGTACAGTGGTAATAAACACTCTCACCTACACCCATGGCTGCCACATTTATTTGTGGGGCAACCCTAAGTGGATCCACATAGTCGTCTATTGCTTAGTAGTTGTTTATGTAGGGTTAATGTACATCTGTTTTGGATTAACTTCATCTCCTTTTCCAGAGCTACTGGGGCCAGTCATATGGTTGAGTACCACTGGACGCATGGACACCACCACAAAGCATATAGGTAAGACTTGTGCTGAAACTTAGGGTGTCGGAATATTTTCTGCGTATTTTTTAGATAATGACATAACGTCAAAATTCTTTTGCTTCATTTGGAATCTCTAGTTGTGTTGCATCACCCAATTTTGTTCTCTATAAATAAATATGTAATGGAATGTTGAAATTTACAAGGAATTGTTCTTTAACTGAATATAGACTGTGCGTTTAGAGTGATTTCTTCAGTGCGATCTGTAAGAGAATTGACAAGGTTGCCCTTGTCCTGGGGTGTTAGCTCTGGAATTGCTTGGAGTTGGTTGGCATTTAAGCTTGTCTGAGGTTGCTGCAGGTACAGGCTGGTGATGACGATAGTGTGTGCTCAGTTGATCGATATTTATTCGGTAAAGAAATATAATAGTTTTTTTCCTGACACTGTTATAATATAGGAGTAGACTGAATTGTTGCTCAGTGGAGAATTTGATAGTATGTTTTACATTTGGCTTTGCAACATTTTTCACAATAGAAATCAAGTTGGAAAAAGGGTATACTGTTGGGCTATAGTAATCTTTATATACCTAACTTCATTTCTTCTCCATTGATCAACTCATGTGCTTTAATTTGTAGAAAATTTCATTTCGCTTGAACTTGGCTTTCTTTTGTCAATCTCAGAAACTATATTAATAAGACAACAGCTCTATAGGTTTATGGTAGTCTGCTTCAGCAATAAGCTTGACACATGTTTATAATAAGACTAGATCCTTTGCTGTATCCAAACATTCAAAGTGATTTTGGGTTCTTTGAAAGGGAGCTGGAGTCTTTGCTGAAAATGTGTTTCGTTGCAGTTTGCTACTTTGCACACTTAAATGTTGTGTTCGCTCTTTTGCCCAAAACTTTCCCGTTTGGGTGCTTTCCTGAAAAATTGTTGCCATTTTGTTTGGAAGTATCATTTTGCACGCATTGCTTGGGTTTGAAGTATCTTAATGGGTTTTGACTTATGCCTGCTTGCTAATATAAGTCAGGAAGTCGCACTATGGAATGTCGTACACTTTCACAGGCGTGTTTTTTCGGAAAAGAAAAAAAAGAATCAGTTGTAACGGGTGTGTTCGTAGTATATGTAAATTTCATTGTGGTCATGCACTCCTATCTCTAAGCAGTCTCATTTGCATGACTGGGGGTACTAGGCCTTCCTGTGATACCAAAATGAAGCTTTGCTCTGCAATAAACCGGTGAGGTGTGGGTCATATTTTACCAGGCAAGCAACCACCCCCGTTGCTACAGAAGTTAAGCTGTGTGAAATGAAAAGGTGAATTAAATTGATGAAGTTCGTTGCCCTTGTTGAGTCAATTAATGAGAAACAGGTACCTGCAGTACATCTACGGCCTGGCTCCACGGGCATGTGTCAGTCGATCGATCACTTCTCACCGGAGCATAAGATGGTTCTGTGAGATCTTGTCCTCTGACACTGTCTGGTACTTACTACACCCTTTGTCACACATTGTGGAAAGGTATCTTTAAAATGCAGGTATATATATAGTCAAAAAAAAGGAGCATGTAGTGTACTGTATTTGGATTTGATTTGAAGCCCTTGCATGTTTGCAGCAGTTATCTGTTCCTCAGTTTCCTGTAACCTGAGGTACATCTCCGGAGTCTGAATTATTTTTTTTAATCATCACTCGCGTTAGGAATTTGTTTGATGTTGCCTGGCGCAGTGGACAAAGAGAAGTTGTTTTGGGACCATATATGACTAAGCTGGGCTCCCAAAAATCATTTCCGGCAAAATAATGGACCTTAGCGAGGAACCGGAATCTGCTTGATCTCGAGTTGTCCTCCCCCCCACCCCCCTCGTTTTATATGTGTTTGGATTTTGTATAGATTAATCCACTCAAGGCGGCAAACCGACATGCATGGTGCAGTAGAATATGTATATACTAGTACTATAGATAAGTTCCAGCATCATCATAAGAAAAAGAAAGTGCGTCGGAAAACGTTGGGAACTTGGGAATCTGTTACTTGTAGTTGTAGTCCAGTCCATTATCATGGACTCGGCTTACCTTAAAACCGGCTTATTTGGCTTTTTTTTTTTCTTCAGTTGGAACAATGTTTTTTCTCACAACAATTCAGTCCAGAATAGTGTTTTCAGTCTAGTTTCAGTTAAGTTTTAGCAAGCCGAACGGGGTATCTCTGGCCATCCCTGGAGGCTGGAGCGACGACAGATGCTGGATAACACGCTTGCCACAAAGAAAAGGTTTGTAGTCTACTAATCTGGCATCTTGCAGGAGATGGATTACTAGTGTTGACAAGATCGAGCTCTATTAGTTGGGCACTTTCCAGTCTTTACATTCATGGGTCCTATGTGGAGATCATCAGTAGGGCATCAAAGTGTGGTTTGGTGAAAGGAGAAAAAAGGGCAAGTAGGATATGGTCAGCTGTGCCGTAATTGCACGGTTTTGCCCTAGCAACATCTTTCTAGGGTCTAGCCATCTGTTTTTAACTTTGTTGTTATCTTTCCTTGGAAAGCTGAGGCCGCAAGGACAAATCTGGGGACAGCGCAATAAAGCTAGCTTTAATCACTGGGATCAACTCCAACCGTATACACACTAGCTTTCTCGTGCGTGGAGTGGATGGAGCCACCAGCGCGCAGCGCCCAGCGCCCAGCGCCAGGCCATGGTGCGCCACAGCCACAGCTAGCCCACCAGTCCACCACGCCACAACAAAACCGGGCCTTGGTGGCTGGGTCTATTGTTTCGTCTTCCTCTCTCTGACTCTCTCGCTCGCCATCTCTCTCCTCTACATCTTCGATCATGCACTCGGAAAAATCAGGCCAGTTCGAACGTTGCAGGTTTGCGCCAGGCATGTGCGCACAGATTATATTTTGCATTGGTGCCCAGTGGTAATTTCAATGCATGTCAGGTTTGTAGAGGAGGCCCTTGTAACATTAGTACTTTATAAGGGCTTGCTTGGACAGATTTCCAAAAGCTTATTAGCATTTTCTATGTATGGATTAGAGTGCAAAATTAAAATGAACTAATTTCTAGACATCCCTAAGCTTACACTCTCGCCTCAGGACATGGTTTCGTTTTTTTTACAAGGACATGATTTCGTTGTGATCGCACCGGACGTCGACCTCTTTATTTGGCAAATAACATGCAATGTAAGTAGGCATTAACGACTGTTTAAGTGGAAGCTATATATTGCAAAGTTAGATCAAACACATATATGGTAATCAAGGCTATATCAACATCACGCACCTAAAAAGAATGAACCTTGCAAATTTAGTTTTCACACATCTATGTCTATATATCAGTCTCTAATTCATAAACTATTATTCGCAACTCAGCAACAAGCGTGGGCAGCAAATAGCAGGGCCCAAAATGGCCTGTTGATCGGACCATATTTCTCATTGGGCAGCCCAAAAAGGCTGTAAAAGTTGCAATGTCCAACGGATCGCATGCAAAAAGAACACCAACATTGTGCATGAATAAATAATAATGATTATATTCATGCCCCTTTTGTTTATTTATATTATATCCGCGCCCATGCATTTTCCTTAGGTTTTTTTACCAAACGGCAGAAAATGCAACAAAAGGTTGCGATGACAAGAAGCCGATGGATCGATGTCGTTAGGGCTCTGCGGCGACACACAGACGAAGGTACGTAGTAGCTGTGGGTCGGAGGAGGAGTCACTGTTATGCATAGGAATCATCGAGATGGATAGAAGGCATCCATGGACGATGATCGAGTAGTAGAGGTGTAGTAGTAGAGCGGTCGCTAGACGATGGATCTCAGCTGTCCATTTCCGGTCGGATGAGACAACGTGAAAACGCCGACTTACGTACCTAGCTAATAAGACGACAAGACTACATGACAGACGTACGTACGTACGCATTTTGTTCAGTGATTAATTAAATATTATAATATAATCTAGTATAGACATCGGCCGTTACATTAGTAAGCAATTAAGCATGGTTAGTCCGTCCTTGTCGTCCGTCACAGCGTAGGCGAGAGAGGCAAATATATAGAGGGAGTACTACTACGTAATAGTAGATGAGAGAAGAATCCTACAAATTATGAGCTAGCTAGCTAATAGGTCCTTCAATTTGTGCCGCGGCTAGCCGACCGGCCGGTTTCTCGGTTCCATCGACGACGCTGATTGCATGCAGATGATACAGATCGAGAGAGAGAGAGATGAGTGACGATGATGGAAGCGCATATATCCCTCTCACTATCTCATCAGAGACAGAGAGAGGACGAACTGATCGAGAGCGACACAAAGCGCAGCGTTTGCTTGGATCGTCGTTGTTCCTAATAAATCAGGCGTCGCCCTAGTTTAAATTCCGTGGTTCGGTACGGTAGTTGCGTCGCCGTCGCCGTCGCGCTTGCCGCTAGCACGTACGTACTACTACTCCTACGACGACGCATGATATGGTATAGGGTCAGCGTCAAGGCACACGCACCGTACCGTACGTTGGTCCGTGGCTGATAGATGATATCAGGGCATGTACAACCCACAAAAAAGGAGTCATCGTCTCTAAGAGACAGAATCTGATTTGTATACCATTGTATTGCCGTTTTAAAGATGGATTATGAATATCCAAGCAGTTTAATGTTTTGTATGTAGCTAAGATCAGTTATGAATATCGATTTGTATACCACTTTGTTGCCATTTTAATAGATAGCACTTTCCACTTAACTGAAAGGACGTTGTACATGCCCTCATCATGCATCCTCTCCGCCGAAAACGACCATGCACCGGCCGGAATATCACGACCGCGACACATTCTTTCTCCTCTTCGCTCTCGACGAGTCAAATGTAATGTAATGTAACGAATACATGGCATAAT